ATCAATTAATAGTGTAAGATGCACCTACTGTAGGTTGATCCGGTGTTTGAGTTTGATGGCCGCCCCCCTAATATAATGGCTGTGGAAACACTGTAATGACTTGAATACACCTCTGCTGTAGTAAGTATTTTATTTTTAAACCGTTTTTTTTGTAAGTTTTTATTTTATATAAAAAAAGACTTTATTTAATATAGCGTCTAATATAAAAAAATAATATTTTTTGGGGGGATATTGTACTGATATTGTAGTAAGATTATATCTTTATTTGGTCGTTTGGCATAATCTAGGGCTTAATTTTGAGGGTTTACAATGACTTACAAAGATACATAACGGCTACAAGTGTATGCACTACTTGCTTTATGCAAGCACTATATAGGATAAATCACTATACAGGATTTACCCTATTATAATTTATTGACATGAATTGATAGGTGAAACAACAAACAGTCTATAAACAAAGCATCAGGCTGTATTTGAGTTCACATGAACAACGGTTAACGTAAAGTTATTTTTGTCAGGCTACAGAAGAATACCATAATTCCTCCGTTCAATAGGCCTAAGACATTGAGAGTCACGCAGACCTATAACAACCCAGCCACAACACATAATTGCGAATAACATGCCTTAACACAGAATCGACCGCAGAGTCCAACGTTTATATTTTTTCTACGAATCTTTGAGTTTTGAGACCTGTGACAAGGTCAATAAATCAAGTTCAGTGGAGATTGTAAAATGACGTACAACCTCAGAAAATCATGAATTAAGAAAAAAAAATGAAACACATATTTTAAATAATTAATTAACACGCATAACCATATATTTAAGGTGAATGTTTATACTTAATCATGGTTACACCATTTTTTTAGAGTCTTAAATATAAACTTTTCTAATTGTATGATTAAAAAAAAACATTTCTAAATTTCTAAGAACATTAAACTTTATTTTTCTTTTTTCTTTATCGTGGACACTTATTAGATTGAGCAGTGTTAGCAGGTATTAGCTGAGATTCTCCTGAACCCTGTAGAAGTGAGAACAGCCTAAGAGTTCCGCCTAAAGCACTGTGAGGGAGTGTTGGCCCAATTCTTTAATGTCAAGGCCATGTGATTCTAGTTCCTCGATGCCACGGTATTGCCGTGGGGCACACATCCAAACACAAATACCCAAAACCTCCAATCAAAGAGAGAGGGTGGCGAAGCAAACCCATTCCCCTCTGCCAATCAGCATTGTGCTGAACACTTGTTTACATTTTTTTTCCTGAGTCCCAGTAGAGTGTGATTATTTATCCATATGTCCTGCTAAATTGATGTGGGACCTTTAGTTTATGTCGTCCAGGGTCTGTTATGGCAGACCTCCACTGAAAAAACTCATCTAACTTTCTCATGTGCAGCAGGAAATCTGACCTGAGTGTTGGGTTCTAAGTGTGCCTCATTGGCACTAAAATATCCATTTACAAGTAGAATTACATGCATTTGTCTATTTACTTTGAAGCCTCTCAGGTGCTTTGAGTTCTGTGGCAGTGATTTAGTAAAAAAAAAAAATACATTGAGTTTTGGAATCAAGACCAAGATCGGGTGTTGCAGGTCTTCTGAGATCGAAGTGATTGTTTGTTTAGTCATTTAGCAGATGTTTTAATCCAAAGACAATTCAGCTGAGAAACAATTTATCATACAAAAAGCAACAGTATTCTTAGTACCAATAAATTGTTGTTTTAGATTGTTAATGGTTGGTCCTTGTACTGGTCCGTATCACAAAAATGAACCAACTATAGACTACTTGCCTCAGACATGAGACATATCTATAGAAAGCTTGAAATGTCTACTTTTAAACAAACTACTTTAAATCAAAAATGACCACTCATGTAATCCATATGTAAATCCATCTCTGAAGATGAGTCAGAGTCATTAGCTTCATCTTTGCAGCTAGCAGTGACTCAGAAAACACTCTTTTATTAATAGCTAAAATATCTCCTTGCTATTTTTTTCCAATACATTCAGTCATTACCTTTGCAACTAGTTTTATGTGTGCACTTGAACGCAGAACAGGCTATATCTTAAAGGCCCCCCATGTATATATTTAAGTAATTAGATTAGTACAAACGTGATTTAGTTGACTAACGGCTTAAATTAATGACTATTCGTCTACAAGAAAAATCTTTAGTCGGGGGCAGCCCTACAAACAAATATGATAGACTGCCATAGAGCTCTGGAAAACACCCAAAGCCATCTAATATAATAGCAGCAAGTTTTTAACGGATAAGCAAATGTCCTCTTTTTTGCTTTCTTAAATGTGACCCATAATCAGAGCACTAATACTTACCCAGTACTTAAGACAGATTAAACTAAAACTCAAGGCATTTGGAGCTTGAAGAGGCCTGTCTGGTTTCCAAGAAAACAACCTGACTGATTGGATTTGGTCCAGAGGTCATGTTGGGTCTGGACAAGTTCTTTTAAACCCAAGTGTCCATTACCCTCCGTTTAGGTCAGGCTGATCTCTGGCCTGTTACCCTTTTGCACTACTGCTTGAGTTTCAACCCTGATCAAGTATCTCAGTCTAATTTAGTGGATTAGATCATTGTTTTCCCATTAGCATTTCTACAAAATGACTGGATTTTTGCCTATAGACATTAATCTGAGAACTGCAGGTCCTTTATGCTTAACATATTGTTTTTATTTATTTATCAGTGTAATTCAGAAGGTTCAATTTATTTTTCATAAGTGTTCATAAATCTTGGCATCAATCTTGGGTATGTGGGTGGCATAGTAATTAAAATACGCTGGTATTGTAGAGCATTGGCATATGCTCTACAGAAGTGTAATTCTAAATCTTTTTGTCAATCTCTTTCAGTCCTGAGGCGGCAGATAGCTCTTCCTTTGATGTCCAATTAGGGGACATAATTTTGACCGCTACTGACGGCCTCTTTGACAACATGCCTGACTACATGATCCTGCAAGAACTCAAGAAACTCAAGGTACAGACAGTACTTGCATTAAATGTGAGGGTGCTTGGGCGACAGTCAATTGATGTTTTTTGGCTTATACCAATATTATAGAGATTAGTGTGGCTGATGTATCACATATGTGTGGATATAACGCAATGTTATGATCGCAAATAAGATGCAATTGGACCTGAGGGGACCAGTGTCCACAATTACACCGTCCTGCATCATATTTGCTGAATGAAATCAGCATTCAGCAATAATACTTGTTTCTTACTAATTTAGGGATGCTGATTCCAAAAATAGTGCCTGTTTTGCTCAAGCACGTCACATTTTCTCACAATGGTTTTTGACAACCATTTGTACAGTGAAGAAGTCTTGTATTATCCCTTAATCACCAAAAAACTGCCACGAAGACTTGATTATCTTTCTTCCTCAGAGCTAGGTTACATCTCTGTTCAATTCTCAGCCAATTTTCGCATATATAAATACTTGTGAAGACATTATTTTATGCCTTGTACTGTTTTTCATTTTTTTCCACTCCTTTGCAGATTCTAAGTTAAATGATGCATTTGGAGTACTTTTTGTCATTAAAACAAGCTTTTGGTAACTCAACATTATCAAATTTGGGTTAGGGTTATTTTCAAGATGCAGGGCGGTATTATCGGTTGATACCGATAAACTTAGAGTCAAAATGGCTGATGTATCAGTCTAAAGCCCGATTCGGACGGTAATTGTTTCTCATATGGACATCTGTAAAAATAAATTTACATATCACATCAGTGATAAAACTCATGGATTCGGATGCGATCTATTCACAGAGGTGGAGTGAGTTCTGTGATCCTACGAACCCGGGAACGTGCTGCTCACGTGACCAGTCACATAATTGTCTGCTGTAAATAAAATGAATTTTATTTACAAATTTATTCTTATTAATGTGTAAAATGCATTTAAAAATACTTATACAATACATACTATGTAAAATGTATTCTTATTATTCCAAGCATATTTTATAATATATAATCTTATTTATTATTTGATTATTTAAATCTCCTGTTTAAAAATAGGAAAATAGACGTGCTATAGTTGTATATAATTATACGCGATATAGTTATGTATATATCCGTTTATAATACACATTTTAAAATTGTATTGCATACCTGCTGCTGCCATAATAAAGACCCATTTCGAATGTTTGCGTGCTTTTCTTCTCTTTCTGCTCCCAGTCGCTGTGAGCAGTTATGAAGCATTGTTCTTTTAAATACTTTCCAGCATTTCAGAAATAAATATGTATGCAAACTACATCGAAGTACTATAGTTAACGTATCTTACGGTGTTCGGGAGTGCTCAAAAAAGGTTTAAGCTGAATTTTGAATCGATTTCTTCTCGTAAACTTAGAGATGTGGATTCGGACGACAGTTAAATTACCACACGACCTTGGTGTTTGTCAAAAAACAGTAGGTAATTTGGCCGGGGATTTTTACGGGGGTGGTGAGAGAAAAACACCAACATCCTGGATTCGGACGGCAATTAAATCACTGACTACCCCCTGTAAATGGTGAAAATCACTTACTTCCCCCTGAGAAACAATTACCATCCGAATAGGGCTTAACACTATACTTGGTTATTAGTAGGATTTCCACCTTTTTCAGGTTATCTTCCTATACCGATAATCTCAAAATTGCCATATAATGGCCAATTAATTTCCCTGGCCAATATATCGGTATAATATCGGTGGGGTACTTTCCACGTTTTTCATTTTATTTATCTCTCTTTTTATTTATTTTGCCTCAGAACACCAACTATGATAGTATCCAGCAGACTGCCCGCAGCATTGCTGAACAGGCCCACGAGTTGGCCTACGACCCCAACTACATGTCCCCTTTCGCCCAGTTTGCCTGTGACAACGGGTTGAATGTAAGAGGTGAGTCTTCAAAAAGAGGTTCTTGACTTCCATTACCTTTCTCATTCTAAAACCTCTTTGAATATCCATAATCAGTGGTACTGACCTTGTAATTGGTCTATTTTCATTTCAGGGGGGAAGCCTGACGACATCACAGTGCTTCTGTCCATTGTGGCAGAATACACAGACTGAGCGCGCTCAGTGGAGCTCACTCTTCTCTTACACCGGTGTCTTCCACCCCTCTCCTATTGCACTGCTCCCCATCTCACTTCTCCCAGCACCACTTTCCATTCTTCCATTTCTCGAGTAGATCTCCAGTCAACGCAGGAAGGAGGATAACATGAACTCGCTGGTGTGGGCGGTAATTCAATCGGTACAAACAGTCCACAATTGATGACCTCATTTGTGTTTAAAAGGATCTTGGGACTCTTCAACCCGTGTTGTGAATTTGAGTCATTTCTATTTTTCCAAGGGACAAGGAGAGCCATGCATTACCCACAAAAAGTGGTTTCTAATGGGAGAAGCTGTCATATTCACTCGTGTGGTTTGTGCAAATGAAAAGCTGTTGTTAAGTGGTTGGTTGTCTATGTCTTGAGAGAGAAGTTAAGCATCTCTGAAGCCTCTATGTGCTGGAGTGCCTCTGTGTTTTTGTGTGTACGTGTATAACGTGTCCCGTTTGGTTAAGCTGTAATGGAAAGGTAGGTAAAAGTTCGGAAAGGGGCTTAGCTAGATTTAAACCTGTTGCGAAATGCAAGTGCTTTAGGATGTGCTGGCTAGTTCTGTTCAGCCAGAATATCTACCTCTAGTTAGACAACCTTCATCTACACCATCACATTGTGAGGTCTTGGATGATGGATTGCAAGTTGAAAGGCAGGAAGGAGATGGGTTAAATGTACAGCTTGTATTTGGTTATAAAAGATAGAAACTGAACTGCACAGACATCGTAGACCTTAGTCAGTGTAGTGCCATATTTAAGTTTTGACAGGAATGAAACTGAGGCTGTGAGGGTTAGAAGTACAGTGCGTTCAGTGGATTGTACTGTTTAACATTAAACCGATTGTTCAGCTGACAAAACGTCTTTCTGAAAAATGTTACGTAGACAATAACTTTTGAAAGTTGTGATTTGGTGAAAATTACATGATCTAGGACCTTTATACAGTTTGTAAAGACTGTATATCCAAGACAAGTATATCCCTGGCATCCTTATTTTCAATATGGCGTCAAACCTGACTAAGGTCTGTACCAGAGAATGTCACAATCCACTGATAGACCGCTACACTCGCTCACGGGGATGGTGGATGTTGACTGTGAATGCGTGTTGGATGTATATTTACATGACTTCACCTCTCGACCCTTGAGTTTGAAAGTCTACACGCACAAATGGCTAGCATCTGGCAATGCTTTTTATGAGTTGAAAGGTCAGGTATATAAATAAATGTTTTATTTTTATAAATATTTAGCTTTTAGTGGACAAGATTCAACAGAATGCAGAAGTCAGGGAACGCTGGTCTTTACGGATCGACTGTAAGGCCTTTCGGCGTTTTCGGTGCTCCCTAGCGAGGCTTGGGTTATTTTTTGTAATTGATTGAAGGGTATCTAACGCTTTTTTGGTTTGTTTTTCCTGTGTCGCTCTATATTGGTTCTAGAGAAATTTTTCACACTCATGTGCTGCTTTAATTTAGTAAATTATAAATGTGTGCGTGACTACATAATTTATAGGAATGTTTTTACCTGTACAGTAAAAAATGGGTGCGCTGATGGCGATTTTATTTCACGAAAGCGACAATTCATGCAGACCATTGAGTGTGTTTGACTTGCAGTCTTTGGATAAAATGGAACACTGATTCTATGAGAAGCATTAACTATACATAATTGTTATATTTTTGTCCAGTTTATTGAGATTGGAAAAACATAAAGCAATACAGATTTTTAAAATGTCTTTGTTTCTCCAATGTCTGTGAAATATTGTGCATGCCCAGGATGGCAAACCTCAGTAAAGTATGTCAAAAATTATTGATATATGTATAGCCCATGAGTAAATATTCTATAAAGCTTTCATACTTCAAATCCTATATGAACATGAAACTCAATGTTTTATGAGGTTTGCTGTCCTGATATGTTCCATAAAGGCATGGCTATTCACCTACAGACAGAGAGGACTATAATCAAGTCCTCAGTTGTGCCTACAACACAATTCAACCAGAACTGTGGTCTGTTATTATGTGTGACGTCTTGTGTGTTGTGGTCATGTTAAAATCAACATCTCGATCCACATTGTGTAATCGGTAAAGAAAACCAAAGCAGGAAAGCCATAAGACCAGCATGACCAAGGTTTTCTCATCCAATGTCTCACTGTCATCTAAAAGACCGCAGTTGAATCTTTAAATGTTAAGAGTATCTGTCGGACTTACCATAGTGTCCCAAATCTGCTTTTCTTTCTAGATAAATGAAATGGAAATCAACTAAACAGCCAGTCATAAGTAATGGTTATTTAGTTGTGTACTTGTCAATTACCAAATGTGTGATCTAGGTCGAAAATGTTTTAGCTGTCTTTTTATTTTAGTCAAAGGTGATGTGTGTGTGATATCAGCGCCTCTAGAGGCAGCAAACAGAATTGCAATTTTTGTTTGTTTGTTTGTTTTTGTTTTTTGAACAACTCAACCAATGGCATCAGTTTAATGCGGAGCTAACAGTTTGCTTGAATAATGACTGGTTTGGTCAGACAATAAGAATTGGGATGATTTATTTTGGATCAGAAATGCCATAAAATAATGAAGTATTAGGATCACCCAAAAATGTAATTAAATTATAAATAATATAATTTAAAAAACTGATCTAAACAACACATGGTGGTTTGAAATCCAACTATAGTCATTTTTGCATTTGTTGGAATATGTCTCAATGTAACAAAAATACAAAAAAGAAGTGTAACGTCATAAATTGCATATTGATCAGTCTGTGTCCGAATATAGCCTGCTTATTTTTGATCACTTTTCCGCAAGAGGCAAATGTTCAAGTTGGTCTTCTCTTTATATTGACAGCTACTATTAATACTCTTAAAGGTGTCATCGGATGCAAAATTCACTTTTCAAGTTGTTTGAACATAAATGTGTGTTGGAAGTGTGTGTACACATCCATCTTATAATGATAAAAATTCACTCAGTTATTTTTTTTTTTAAATCCCTATTTTAAAATCCCCTTTCTCAAATCAGGCTGTTCTGAGATTCCTGTCAGAATGATGTAGTTCTGTACAGGCCCCTCCCACGATAGTTGATTGACAAGGCCGTCTTACCTTAGACCCGCCCTGAGTGAGCTGTGAGCTGTCCGCCATTGTGTCGACTCCGGTGCTAGGGAAGACCAGATGTCTCAGATTAAGCGATTGTAATATTTAATATATATTATAGATGTAATAATTAATATAGCAGTCATCATTTACTCCCGACATCTGAGCCGCTGAAGATGCAGAGGATTAACGTTACTTTTGCTTTGAAGTGAATGCGCCGATCCCTGATCTGCCTAAATGCATTTTAAGTTTGCACGAATCATTCGTGATCCACCCTCACCTACAGAAGAAGTGAGTATAAGGGTTGTTTATGAATCTTTGCAAAAATCGTCTTTCCTAATAATGTGCTAGTTAGCCAGTTTCTCGGCTGAAGTTTACAGTCTGCTCATAACCCCACGGAAGAGAAGGGCGGGGTCAGCAGAGCTCATTAGCATTTAAATCAACATGGACTAGAACAGCGTGCTGAAATCTGAGATGATTTTGACAGGTTTAAAAAAAGGTGTTTTTTACACTACCATTGAGACCATTGAATTTTAACCAAAGTATGTTATGGACTTTTAGTTAAGACCCTGAAGAATCTTATCAACTTGTGCAAAATGGGCATCCGATGACCCCTTTAAAGAAGGTATTTTTGTATTGCAACCTATGTAATATAACACTGGATATTGACTGTTTGAACAAACTGATCAGATTTTTTACTTGTTAAATTATAAAATCAGTCCCAGAGATAGAGTTTGAAAAGCAAGCCAGTTAGTGTGCAACTGAAGAAAACATTATTTTTGCAATTCTGTTTGGTGTCTCTGTCGGTGCGTAAATGTCACGTTTCGCCATTAGTGAGTGTCATTGCATGAGATGGATTTGTGATTAAATCTTTTGTGTCTGGATTTTTGCCACTTTGTTTGCCACACACAACACATTTTTCCGAATTCTCTTGTCATGGCTTGTCCAAAACGGTCAGATGTGCTTTTATCAATTCTAGTACAATTTTCCTACATCATCATTTCAAAACAGGAAAGTTGCCTCACTGAGTTGGGCTGATAGTGACTGAATGCCACTCAGATCTGTGTCTGTGTTTCACTGTGCGTGAACCAGGAGTGCATCCAAGCATACAAATCAACATGCCATTTGCGCCTTAAAATCTCATACTGTCCCATCCAGAGGCCTTTGTGTGGCAAAGCTTGTGTGTCTCGTCTGAGTGTCGCTTACAGTGTCCTCAATTCTGGTTGTATCATCCGTCCTTCTCTCATTTGATGGTTTCTATGGTGCTGTCTGCAGTCAAGATGAGTCTGTCAGTCTCTGAAGCAGACAATGTGCGAATGAGAACTACACTTTTTGTGTGTACAGTGTAACAATGCAAGAAAAGTTCCTGTAAATGTTTTCCAAGTTGTAAAATATTTAAATAAAAATATAGTATTTATACTAAAATATGACTCTGAAGATTTATTTAATATAGTGTTAAAACAAAGTGACACAATAACTCAATGTATTTATTTCATGTTAGTATTAATGATTTTATCCTTTTATTTATTTAAATTAAATATCAACAGAAAATCTCTTTCATGTCTTCCTGGGCTATTGTGTAACTTTTGGAGTAAATCCAGGACGACACAATAAAAACAGAAATGTAAAAATCACTGCATTGACTTTGTATTCTTTACATATTACTGATTGTTAAAGCTACAAAAACGGTTTAGTCAAGAGCTGAGTCATTCCCTCTTTTCTTTTATTGTTTAATAAATATTAATTACACGAGGCAGAAGATTTGTAATCGTCGGATTGTCCCCAATACTGCTGTCATTACCATCAGCAGTTCAGAGAACAAAAAAGGTTTTAAATATATGTTTGCGTGATGGAAATGAGGAGTGACAGTTCCTGTCTGCCATGCTGCTGGGTGGTTTGCAATTGTTGCTCCATGTAGCTTTTTCTTTCTGTTGTGATCTCTATCTTGGTATCACTCTGTTGTTTAAACCGCTAAAATATAACTTAATTATCACCATACTTCTGATATTATCTAACAAACTAATTTGACATTGTTTGCTTTTTAATCGGTCACTTTGTTAGGTGGCCTTAACTACTATGTGCTTACATCAAAAAATAAGTACAATGTACTTATTGCGTACATATTGTATTGCAAAACAAGAAAAACACAAAATTGAGGTTGGATACGGGTAAGGTTAGGGACAGGTTTGGTGGTATGGGTAGGTTTAAGGGTGGGTTAAGGTGTAAGGGATGGGTCAACAGTGTAATTATAAATGTAATTACAGAAATTAATTACATAGAGGTATTTTTTTAAATATAAGTACAATGTAAAAAATGTATGTACACAATAAGTGCATTGTACCAAATTATTAATTTAAATGTAAGTACATAGTAGTTAAGGCCACCTATAAAGTGGGACCTTTTAGTCTAAACCACTAGAGCAGTGCATTAGCATTCTGTTAGCTTATTCGCGTTTCCTACCATTTCTTTTTCTCTCTCTCGCTCCGCTTTTCACGAGTTCATCAAACAACGGTGGTAAGTCGGAATCATTCAACAATCGCGGTGAGTCATGACTTCTACTGTTATTGTCAGTTGCACTGCTTGCCATGTTTAGTGTAGCTTTCTCTGTCAGCGGCAAGGGATTCAAATGTGATAATCGTGAAATTGTGAACATAACTGTTAAAGGAAGGCTGAGGAATCCTGTGCCAGCTGGTCACTCGCACTAACGCCTATTCCCTTCACCTTTCCGTGTTTTGACTTAAAAAAAATAAAAAAGAAGGTCTAAGGTATTCTTTAACTTGGACCTTATTTTTGAAACACAAAATGTCAAGTACCAAAAGCAGCCCATATTAAGTCTATAAGTTGTCTTTAATTGAAAAATATGCTTTTTCATATACTTGCATATAACTGATGAAAGTGCCCTAGGCAATTCTATTGTACTGAACATGAAAATAGCGGATTCCAGAATCCACCCCTTCAATAGAGACACCAGCCACCATAGTCCAATGTTAACCAAGAGCCAGAGCTCCTGACATCTTGGCAAATTTGAAAGAGCTGGCTAATGCTAATTGCCGCTCTTCTCCCTAGAAATATGGCACATAGTCTTAAGAGTTTGTACTTGACTAACTGGGGCCCAGGTCAGAAAGCAGATTGACCGTCTGCTAGCCTCCTCATCACAGAAGTCAGTTAAAGCGCTTTTTGTAAATGATATGATCACAGATCAAAAACTAGATGTGCTCTCTTTGACAGAAACCTAGCTAAAACCAGATAATTACATTACTTTAAATGAGCACTTTAGATATGGTTGCTCCTTTACATTAAAGAAGATTAAGGAAAACAGTCCGACACCATGGTATAATGAGCACACTCGTGCCCTAAAGAGAGCAGCCCAGAAAATGGAGCGCAGCTGGAAGAAAACAAAACTAGAGGTATTTTGTATTGCATGGAGGGAAAGTACTTCCTCCTTTAAAAAAGACTTAAAAACTGCTAG